TCACAGTATAGATCTCTATACTGTGGTTAGGTCATTTAAGTGATGTTCAATTATGTCTCACAACTCTTGACGTGAATTTACCTTTGAGCATAGACTTTCTGCTCAAGATACAACAAAACTGTGTAATCCATGTTCTTAGTCAAATCTGTTTCGATGTTATTCTTGTGATTCATAGTTAAATCATGTTAAATCAATGAGTTTTGCATCAGAAATGTATTGTTGTTTTCGGTTTTCAATAAATAGGTGATAATTTTCCATAATACTCACTCTAATACATAACTTTATACCAGCAACAGTTACCACTTCATCATTTTCAAATCGAAATATTCCGAAAACGGAACACAGTATCGAGTTTCACCAAGAGTACCTTTTTGATGTGAAATTGAATGTTGTTCAAGTTCACATCAAATTTGGATTGAAAAATCTAACCTCAAAAAAGTTATGTTCAAAACTACTCGGTACGAACCGTGTAACTAGCGCCCTCTATGAGAGTCAGATATAAAAACGAATGCATGCGATGTGTCAGATTCCAAGAAACATTCATACAAAATTTCATCACAATGGTGCCAGTAGTTTCAACATAATCGTAAAAAATGTGTAAAAAAAAATATTGTTTCAACACCTTGTATCTTGAAAACGGATGGCGTTACCACATTTTTTTACTGAGCAAACCCAACTTATTTTGCCATGTTCTACCTACCCTAGCAAGGGGGTTAGGTTTTTTTGAAACACCCTGTATAAGATTCTAAATGGAGGCATCGTAGATAGACACAATTTCAACACATTTTCATCCACTCAGGACGGCTTGTACAAAGATGACCGTTTATAAAAAAACAACATCGACAAATGATTCGTTCTGATGCTACGATGCTAATGACTAAACCTGCTTCAATCTTCGATCACACGATGATTACGATTATTACGAATACCGATGAATCGTCGAGGGTCGAGGCCGCTTGTGATAAGGCATTCCCTAGGCGTGCTTCTCATTTACGGGTGATTTGAACATCGTTGCTAACACTATATATTTTTACAATCACCTAGTAGATTAGTGGAATAGATAGGTACCTTACAAGAGAACATCCAGGACTCCAGGCGCCTGTCTTCTTTTCTTATGCCTTCAAATTGGAAGTCAGATTCTCAGCAGGATTTTTGTATCCTTTCCAAGTGATAGAAATTAGTCTACAACAATATACAGGATGTCTCTAAAAGATTTTTACAATAACATAGGCTCTGACGTCTGAAGTTACAATTTTCAAATCGTTCAAAATAAGTGGAAAATCTGAAAGCTCCTTCAATTTCACATGAAAAATGTTCTCTCTATCAAATTTTCTAACTTCAACGGTTTTTGTGTTATTATTTTGATCATCAATGAATTGACATAGAAGATATGATGTAAATTATCGAAGTAACAGAGTGCCACTAGTGCCCTCTATGAGCAATCACAAAATAAGTTGCAAATTCATATTCCTCATGTCAGAAAACCTAGAAATACAAGATTTCATGTTCATGCTGTTGTTATTTGGAAATTTTGAGAAAAAATCTCCCCCTAGAACACCCTGTATCTCCTAAACCAGCAACATTCTAATCAGGCCTTTTGGGCTAAATGACATTCAAATCAAATCAAAGTATGCTTTATTGTCCAAGAAAATAAATCTTATCGACAAAGCCACATGAGAAAAATACAGTTATAAAATCGAAATCAATAAAACAAAAAATGTATAAATACAGTTGAAGTTGAATCGTACATGATACACGTCATTATTGAAATAAATATACAAAAAAAACATATATTTATATACACAAACACAAAATATATAAAACAGAAAAGGTGCAGATGAAAAAATGTCATAGTTGATCACAGTAAAATTCGTTTACATTATAGTATGCCTTATCGAGAAGCAAATTTTTAACAGACTTCCTAAATCTTTTTTCGTTTTGCATCTTCTTTAGGAAATTTGGTAGATGATTGTAAATCTTCAAGCTTTCATAAATGAGCGAATTCTTTGTTAGCGTCGATTTTGGTATTGGAAGTTGAATATTATGACAGTTCCTGGTATTATAACAATTGGAGAACAAATGATTCTTGTGCAACAAACTAACCGTTTCTAGAATAAAGAGACATGTAATTGTCAATATTCGTTGACTAATGAATAGTGGTTTGCAGTGAGTATGTCTAATCTAACTCCACAAATATATCTCACAGCCCTTTTTCGGAGGACAAATACAGAATTCATCATTTGTAAATTACAAAAACCTCAAAATGCGATGCCATATCTCATATTCGACTCCATCAAAGCAAAATATACCATTCGAGCTTGAGACCTACCCAGCTCGCGTGCCACTACACTAACAGCAAAGCAGCCGGATGCAAGTTTTCTATTCAAGTTCAGGATATGCGGTTCAAATTTCAACTTATTATCCATTATGATACCAAGGAATTTGCCGTACTCGTTATTAGAAATTGTTATATTGTCTAGCATTAGGTTTGGAAATCTGAATTTGAACGTTAAAATATTGGTTTTGCTTATATTGAAACACAAGCTGTTTGAATCACACCATCGTTTAATTCCTTCAATGTCGGTACTTATATTTTGTTCCAGTATTTCTGTATCATTCCCGCTCCAAAGAATTGTAGTATCATCTGCGAAAATTGTAAAGTGACCATGAATATTGATGGAAGGTAGATCATTAATGTAGAGAAGAAAGAGGACAGGTCCCAATACGGATCCCTGGGGAACTCCATAAGAGATACTTCCCACTTCAGAATACCCGGAGCTAGTACGCACAGTCTGCACTCGATCCCGTAAATAAGACTGAAACCATTATTTTTGTGTTTACTATCTGTAGTTCAGAGATTTCCCATTCTTAATGAATCACCATGTATAAAACTTCTACCAAATCAAAGAGTGGGGTGTGAGGAAACTCGCGATTACAGCACTCATGGTTTCGACAAGTTTGAATTTCAGTAATTTCGAGTAATTTGGAGCCGTTTAGAGCATGAGTAAACATTCAATACGATTGACAGATATTTCTGTTTCTGTTTTAGAATGTTCACCCTGTTTAGAGCAGTTCGACATATTCCACACTCAGTTTCAAGCTTCCTCTGTAATCTAGAAAAATGTGGATGGATATGAATGTTATTTTAATTGAATTCTCGCATCATCCCACTCATCATCAGCTATTAAGCTTTTAATATCGATCAAAGTGGAACACTCGCCATTGTCAGATTTGATTACACCATAACTTCTCCAATTACTCGCAATTGTCCAATCGATATTACATTTCACCTGCCAAACACGATTAAATCTTTCATTGGTCCGTTATCAAATTGCTATTAGATCTTTATTTTTCAGGTCATACTAAAAAAAAACTCAATGTAACTAACGTCATTTTTGGAAAAACCGACGAGTATCAAATCTGTAGACTATAGTAGATACAGGGTTTTTCAATATAGAGAACCAAATATTCTTTAGAATTTGCCGAGACTTATGGAGGGAGCATTTTTACCAAAAGCCAATTTGATATGTTCATCCATACCCACCAAGGGCATCATCTGGTATACAGATGGCTCCAGGATGGAAGAATGCGCAGGTGCTGGGGTCTATGGGCAGTCTCCAAGGGCAAATCACTGCTATACCCTTGGGAAACATGCCACGATTTTTCAGGCTGAAGTATTTGGAATACTTGCATGTGTTCGAGAGAATATCGAGAGGGGCTATCACAGCCAGCAAATCACTATATGCACTGACAGCCAGGCGGCGATCAAGGCGCTCACCTCGTATAGGGTGACCTCCGCCTTGGTGTCAGAGTGCATAGATAGCCTACAAAGGCTGTCAGCAACGAATAAGGTATGTCTTTTGTGGGTCCCTGGGCACTCAGGGGTACCAGGTAACGAAATGGCCGATGGTCTGGCCAGAAAGGGGGCGAAAGGTTCAGTGATTGGCCCAGAGCCAATCTTAGGGGTCACTCGATCCTGGAGCAACTCCAAGATGAAGGAAATCCTGACGGAAAAGGTTCAGGACAACTGGAGAAAGGCTCCTCGAATGAGGCAGTCCAAACTCCATATAGGAAACCCGTCACGAAGACAGACCAATGCCCTCTTGGCTTTGAACAGGAAGGAGCTGAAACTGGTGGTGGGCCTGCTGACAGGGCACTGCCACCTGAACAAACATCTCAGCATGATCGGGATTGTGGAGGATCCAGAATGCAGATGGTGCCTAGAGGATGAAGAGACTTCTACTCACATCCTCACTGAATGCCCGGCAATAGTGGCAGCAAGGGATATCCATTTTGGGAGCAGTATCCTGGACCCAGAGGATGTTAAGAAGTTGGTCTCTTTTGCTCGCGAGATCGGCCTTCTCCATGGCTGACTTGCGATCCCAGGAATGTGGGTGCACAATGGGCCCGAAAAGGGAGGCCTAAGTGCGTCAGGTCCCGGACCGCCCACACACATACATACATACATACATAATATGTTCATCCTCTTGAGCCCTAGTAACTCCAACATTGAAATTCCGATTGGAACTACTTTATTTTTTGTCAAAATGACTCACGTCACGTTTTCTGTGGAGGCGTTGATTTATCACATAATGATTATTATTATGTAAAAACTTCACGAACGATAAGATTTCCACAAAATTCTCAAAAACACAACATGTTTCGCCACAGATTAACAAACCTTAAACACAGTAGCTTCGTCAGGTGATATACTGGTACAATGAACTAAACCAACCTTGGCTTGCTTAACATTTATATATCCTACTTTTCCAACTAGAAGGACAGGTTCGATAAACCTTCATTTTCGGAAATTAGGCACAATATCTACATTAAAATACGTTGAAATAGTTGAAAGGGTTGATAGCAAATACATATTATTACCTACTAAGATAACCTAACCCAACCTAACCTAACCCTAGTTATTATGCATATTTGAAAATTGACATAAATGACGTCCATGTTCTGATCCATCATTTTGAAGCAAGCTTCTTTTCCTCCAGGATTCAGGAGTGGGGACCCCCGTGACGCTGAGAGTAGACCCCAATGGCTTCTATCTCTATTGGATCGATCAGAATCACGAAATGGACCTTTTGGACATCGCCATCATTCGAGACACCAGGACCGGCAGATATGCGAAAATTCCGAAGGTAACAGCCCATTTATTAGTCAATTGAGGAAATTGAGCTATACCGAATTTCACCCCGTATTCTCCATGTGAATCTTCATCAGAAAATTTCAGGTCAAAAATACAAAAAATGATCGTCGGCCTCCAATTCGAAGCCTAAGCATCGATCAACTGCAAACTGAGTGCCATTTTTTAGGCTTTACAATGCCTTGACGTTTTGCTGCCAATTTTTGATGCTTTCACCATTGTCTTTCTAGATGACAACCTGATTGATTGATTGATTAATAGCAGAATGATCAGTCAGGGTTCGAAGCCCAAAACACTGCAGCCTTTGGGCCTATTGTATTCCTGATCATGCTGTTGACTTAGGTGAACAGGTTCGCTACCTTGATAAGGTTTAGCAGCCTCTTCACCAAATCATTCTTTGGAAAGGCCTCTTGAGAGTTTACTGCTCCCAGAAGATTGTATCTCCAACGCGCTAGTGCTTCGCACTCCAATATTACATGGGTGGCAGTTTCCTCCTCCTCATTGCATAGTCTGCATATGGGTTCGTCTCGTCTGTATAGATGCTCATTTGATGCATATGTTTCCTCAAGCGGCAGTTACCAGTTATTAGTCCCGTCACTTGTCTGATCTGACTTCTGTTTAGGCTCAGAATGTCAGCGTGGTGCCCGCGAGAGTCTCGTTTTCGAGAGTCTCGCATGGTCTCGTCTCGTTTTCGAGACAAGACTCGAGACAAGACTCGGACAAGGCGAGACGAGACTTTCGTTGGTCTCGTCTCGAGTCTCGTGCAAGACTTCTCGTGTCTCGTGCGAGAGTCTCGCAGGTAAATATTTCTGCGTGCCGACTGCAAACTTGAGAATTTCATTCATATATAATAAAACATATTTAGGAAGAATGCTAGAAGAAAACATCGGAATCACCTTAATAATGAATCTGCACGATGTTTGTTATGTCTTAACGACTGGGTGAAAAACAAAAACATTTGCGATTGTGAAGACTGATCTGCCTGATAAAGGTTTTTTTCTCCAAGCGGCAGGAATAGTGGCCGGCAGGAATAGTGGCTTTTTCCTGCCGCTTAACAGGCAGAAAAGGTGTACTTTTTCTGCCTAGGCAGAAAAAGTTTGTTGATATGCAACGTTCCAAGAAATTCTAATGAAATTTGTAATCAAAATTGACACTGACATATGGTGAACACAAAATGATGGAGTTTTCAATAAAAAAATCACACAAAATTGGTTTTATATCATTTGGAGGAGAAATTCTATGTTTCACACGGCAGAAAATGTAGATTGACTACTTTTCTGCCTAGTAAAACAAATAACTATTTTCTTAAATACCTATTTTATCAAATAAGTAAAATAATGTTAGATTAAAGTTTTTGTTTTGTTTATTTGTTTAGAATATACGTGTTACTTTTTATTTCATTTTCATAACTTTCGAAAAAATAATGCTATGTTTTTTTTTCCTGTTCAGATGTCTGATGTAAGTATGTACCTATTAGATAATTACTTTTCCATAAACCATGTTATTTTTGTTGTAATTTTCTCTTTCTTCTTCTTCATCATACCTAGAAAGTAGGCAAAGGTAAATATCCCGTACTAGACTGAAACAGGATTATGCATGACGAATTTGCGATACTTTTGCGAGACTCTCGTACGAGACGCGAGACAAGACGAGACTCGGGGCTGCGAGACGAGACTCGAGACAAGACTTCATATTCCATCGGCGAGACGAGACGAGACTTTATGAAAGTCTCGTCTCGTTGGTCTCGTGTGAATCACTATAAATAGTCACTGTTTTGGACAGTGTTCCAACCATCAGTTTACTGTGTCTTTGTCCTGGGACATTGTTCCAGTATGCCTGATGTCTTTCTTGCATCCACCTTGCCAGCCAGCCGCGAGATGACAACCTAGTTAGGTTGTTAGTAGACAAGAGTATTGTACCTCTTCGCGTACTAGGTCGCCACTAGAGTCTAGCCATAGCACCATAGCGTTGATAAGCGTAATATATCAATCAACGACCATAGCGAGGTAATATTGCGCCTCGCTCGCTACTCGCTGGGCGTGAGAAACTGAAAATTTCGGGTCGATCCTGAGAAGAAACATAATTGAAATAGCGAATCACTATCGGCCTAACCAATAAATGCCTCCATAGTATTTTTTCGATTAATTACTTCGAAAAAAAAAAATTAAAAAAAGATTAGCTGGGGTAGGGATCGAACCCCGGTCTTTTCGCTCGGAGGAAGGAATACTACCTACTCTAATGACCACCACGCTTCTGGCAAACAAACTACAAAACAATTTTTCTTCTTCTTGACTTGCCACCGCGGCAATATTTATCGTATGGTGGTGCTATGGCTAGGCTCTACTAGGTTTTCATTTTGATCGACAATGCTTTCACAAACCCGTGACAACCCGTGTCGTTTTTGTCTCGATTTTTGTGCCGCTTTTGTGACGTTCAAAACATGGCCAAAAACGCCACGGGTTTGTTCTGTTTTTTGTTCTAGACATCACTGCATCCCTACAAAATACAAATACAAGTCGAATCGTAGTTACTCCTCAACCGAGTCCTCAACGATTTGTTAGGCGTTGTTTTTTGTTCAAGGAATTTCTACTTTCATCAACAAATGTATAAATAGTTATTTGTTTTACTAAGCAGAAAAGTAGTAGATTGACTGCCTCGACTGATTGTTCATAAGAATGTGTCAGAATGTCTGCTTGTGGGGTTGTCAAAACATCAAAAATGGCACAAAAACGTAACTCATTTGTTCTGTATTATTTCCACATCACAAGTAGAATCGCAGTTACTCCTCAACGGCTGGTTAGGCGTTATTTTTTGTTCGACGAATTTGTATTTTTATCAACAAATGTCGTACAAAACAATTTTGATGTCGTCATTGGATGTGAGCCAGATCTTCCGAAGGGTTATTTCACAGAACTGAAATCGTTATTCTGAATGTCCTATGATATTGTTCTACTCATTTTTGCGATTTTTTTGTGTACAAAAATGTGTTGCGTAATGGTATGTGGATGTGCTAACAAAACTTCACAATGTTCCTCAAAGAATTTGTTCAATACAACGATTCAACGAGTTTGTTTTATCCTTCAAGTTATATTTCTCGACATTACTGCATCACTAACTACAAAATACAAATACAAGTCGAATCGTAGTTACTCCTAAACGGCTGGTTAGGCGTGGTTTTTTGTTCGACGAATTTGTATTTTTATCAACAAATGTCGTACAAAACAATTTTGATGTCGTCATTGGATGTGAGCCAGATCTTCCGAAGGGTTATTTCACAGAACTAAAATCGTTATTCTGAATGTCCTATGATATTGTTCTACTCATTTTTGCGATTTTTTTGTGTACAAAAATTTTTTGCGTAATGGTATGTGGATGTGCTAACAAAACTTCACAATGTTCCTCAAAGAATTTGTTCAATACAACGATTCAACGAGTTTGTTTTATCCTTCAAGTTATATTTCTCGACATTACTGCATCACTAACTACAAAATACAAATACAAGTCGAATCGTAGTTTCTCCTCAACGGTTTTTTATAGGCGTTGTTTCTTGTTCAACGAATTTGTACTTTTACCAACAAATGTCATATTATACAGGCTGATTCACGGTGGATGGCACATTAGACGTTTTTGGAGATCGCAACGTAGGATTATACTGAAAATTTGGTTTCTTGAATAATTAGTTGTGTTCTATCGACCTAAAATATTCTCAACACTGCGACGTTGCCGCTTATATTGAAAAGTAGCAACATCTTTGATTTTTTGAATGGGACACAAAAAATAAGGGACCTAGGATTGACCCCTGGGGTACTCCTAGCCTGGACTCTCTTGGTTGGGATTTGATGATATTAAACATTGATATTTGTGTTCGATTGGATAGATATGATTCAGCCCAATCGAGTGGAATTCCACGGATACCTATGACCTCTAATTTTTGCAATAGTAAATTTCTATCTATTGTATCGAAGGCATGGCTCAAATCATAGAAAAGGCACAGCGAGTTTTCTTTATTATTGAGAGATTCGTATAGATATTCCAATGTATCTTGAATAGCATCAACATTGTTGAATGTGAGACGTAGAGTAAAAGTCTTCTAGGTATTTTCCGATGTATTTTCTCTTGGCGTTGAGTTATTTCTAGGGCACCACCTTAATGGTAGGGGGAGGGGGTGTCCTCGTGGCCCTTTTAGGTGCCCTTGAACGATTCCGCACGAACAAATCCACAAATAAACGCGAACTCGACGGTAATGTGCATCTGATTGTTCGGAAGGGTGGAAAAATCGTGTACAAGTGATATCGAAGTGAAAAGCGGAAATTTTCCGTGATACGCAAACACGGGAAATTAGATAGCGACTCTCAGTCGATATCTTGGCTATTTTTGGATCAGAAGCGGTTATTGTACGTGAGTGCATGTCAGGTCTTGTTTTGTTATACAGTACTTCCTAGAAGTAATGTCTAAATAAATTCATCTCAAATTCAGGGGATAATTTTCTGGAAAAACGAACGAGCCTGTCGAATTTCATTTTTTAATGAGGGCACATCGAGTGGCACATTCATGTGTATACAAGCTAGCTAAAAATAAGTTATGACCGTTAACTAAATTTTTTCAAATAGAAACACGTATTTCACTTGGGAAAAATAATAAAGGTTCTCCAAGACATACGGAAGTAGGTATAAATCGAGGTCTAAATGGACTTCAGAGCTCGACTCGACTTGTGGGTTCGGCTCTTTCTCTCAATACGCGATCCTATTCTTCAACATCAAATCTTCCGTTCTGAAGTGTACCTGATAAAAATGCGTTGGAAAATGTTCTATATCCTACCAAGAAATTTGAATACCTCGCAAATTTTGTGGCCTGAACCTATATATTCCATGTCGGCTGCATGATATTCTGTTTCCATTTTTGTAGAATTACGTTATCCGATGGAAATTCGAATAGAGTGAATTAATTTCCCGTGTTCTCACAGTTGGAAACTGCACAAACTTGCATCTTCCTCCT